CTAAGAATTAGCCCCAGGTCTATAGCTGAAGCTGGAAGATTCATTTGGCCCAGGGCTTCCCTCCCCCGGTCCTGGGAAAAGCCCATACTCCATCCTAGCGTACCTACCATGACCATAAGTCCTTTGCTACAAAGGACAGTCCTTCTTTTCAGAAAGCTGCCCTTTGGATTTAATTATTTTCTTAGTTTTGCTCTTGAATTTTCCTTTGTAAAGCAAAGTTATAAACATAAACATTTTTTTTTTAAATCCATATGAGCCTCTTTCAGATTTGCCCCTTTTTCAGGTTTGTCCTTTATTTTTTCCCAAGAAAACATGGACACTGTAAGCATGCAGGACCAGCAAACATACACCTTGCAAATTTCTTAAACATCCACTAGGCAGGAAATAGAGAGATAAATAGACATATTCATATTTACCATATATTAAAAGTGTTGCTGATAATAGATCTGTTGCAATTCAACTTAAATATAATAACTGCCAAAGTTTGATAGAATTGTGGTTTCTGCTTCTGATGTTTCATTAGTTTGACTTTATTATTTTTTCTAATATGGCAATTGAAGGGGCCCGGTTAATTCATATTTCAGTTGTTAAATTATCTAAGATTTTCCAACATTGGGCAATTTTTATTATAATCATTATAATGATTTAAGGAAGACTACTTTCATCAAAACATGAGATGTGTCTCTGATTTCCTAGCTGCTTACCTGTTCCATAAAGCATAGCCAGCAAAATAGAGGAGATCCATGCTGTGTCACTATATCCAATATGAAACTCCCGGATAAGTTCCTTGAAGAAGACACTCATGGCCTTTGGAAAGGCATAGGAGAATCCAGTGATGACAAAGCACCCAAAGAGAACAGCCCAGCCCCAGCCGCCATCTGGGGCTTTAACTCCAGGTGGACTATCATCAATCGCCACAGCTCCCATGATGAGATTTTATGAGTTTCCTAAAGCATAATTTGTAGAAATTAAAAGTATATGGTCCAGCAGGAAAGAGAAAGGCAGTCTTTAATATGCAGTTAAAACTATACTTTGTACAGTAGTCTACATAAAAGGGATTTATCATGGAACGCCAGCTAGCTTTTTCTTAGCCAGAGTGCCCATGAATTGCAGTAGATTTGTTCAGTCATCACACAGGCTTTTTTTAATCGCATACATTTGTATAGCTGTGGTACATGAAGCCTAGTGCAGAAACAGGGAGACACTGTCTGAGCAGGATTTGCATGTCAAAACCAGGAAATTTAGATGAAACAAAACAGTGTTGCAAGAACTTTTTTTTAGATTAGAGACTGATATGGACTGCATCTAATTCATGTTGGGCATTTTATTTGTTTTAGATATACTGTGTGTGCATGTATGTATATTTAACAAATGTGTGTATGTGTGTGTGAGAGAGAGGATGGTGGTGATATTTCTCTGTTAATTAAAACTATCAGAAGCACTCAATTTTAGTTTGATTAATGGCAAATTGCTGGAAATCCACAGCCTGAAAAGAGCCACTGGCTTATTGGTCACAGGTCCAAGCATCAGTTCCTGATTTAAAGCACCAGATGAGTGGGAGGGACCCTGGAGAGCAGCTTTGTTTCCTGGGCCATTTCCTTTCTTTTCTGGGACACAGAATAGACATTCTCAATTCACAGAGTCACGCACTACATGGCCAGAGAGTACAGTCTGGTAGAAAGCAGGTTCATCTATTGCATAGAAGCTGTCAGTCAAGAAAGGATGCAAGCAGCTTTTCACAAAAATTATGATTGTCACAACATATATTTTTCTTGTTGCTTGATTTTGGCAATCAGTATTTTATCCAAGCCAGGAACAAAGTCAGAGGTAGAGCCAACTTGCTGTCTAGACAGCTGAGGACTGAATATGTTATTATTCAGGGCCCGCTCTGTGACATTTAGGCTTCACGCTGCACCACTTAGAACAATTTCACATTCAAGCTCCAGAAATAAATTTGGCAAAGCCTACTGAAGCAGATCTATTGCAATACACTGCCCTTTCAGAAGGAAAACACTGACATGCTTTTCCTTCATCATCTCTGAAACGCTGTATTCAGTGACAAGAAATGTACAGACTGCCTAAATCAGGTAGAAATGGGACCTGAAGCAAACATTCAAGCAACCATTGCCATATAAAGGGCCTAACTGAAGAACACAGCAATTGATTCAACACAGCCAAGAGCCTTTGAGCCTACATTTCTTGCAAAATATACAAACAGCAAACCACTTCTGACACCCTGAAAATATTCAAAAGCAAAGGATCTGCTTTATTTAGTATGTTTTTATCTCATCTTTTTCTCCAGGAAGCTCAAGGTATTGTGCTCTTTTCCAATGGAGTTGGGAGGGGCAGACTGGCAAAAGCAGCATCATGCTGCAAGCCACACCTTTTCTACATTCATTGGAACATTCCCCAAAGGGGTGGAGCTTATGGAACTATGCTGCTTTTGTCAGTCTGATGAAAGCAGTGAGGTCCTGTGGTTGCCCTTACTCTTCCCAGTAAAAGCCTTATCTCTGAGTGGGAATTTGAACCGGGATTCCCAGGTTCTTGTCTCCCATTCAAATCAATGGCTTTTTCACAGGGATTTAAAGTGCAGAAATATCTGTTACTCAGAGGGAGAACAGTCATGAGAGGAGGAGGAGGAGGAAGCTGCCCCTGCCCTGTGGAATAGCATCCCCCTGGAAGTCCTGCTGGCCTCCAGAAAAGCCCCAAGAACCTAGCTTTTCCACCAGGCACTAGGGCAGAGTGATTTGTAACCCAGCTCAATTGTTCCCCAACAACCTAATGTATCTGTTTCTTACACTACTGTATTTTTGTTTTTAACTGTAACTTGCTTTGTATTTGCCAGTGAGAGTTGCTTCGGCAATTGAGGCACGGATCGATGAAATAACGAAATAAATAATACATAAATGGTCACATTCTAGCCAAAGTCACCTTTCCCTACAGAAGATACTCACATTTCTGTTAAGTACTGGAAATCATTTTATTGCATCAACAAGCTGATGGCTGCAACAAGAACAGAGTACAACATATCCTTCCTCACATCCTGCAGGCTGTTAAGCAATATACAAAGAAATCACCCTTTCCTGCATAAGGCTGTCATTTCCTGCACACATTTCTAGCCTCTGAATTCCTTTCGGTGTTTTTTCCAGTAAAGGTAGTCTCAAGTTCATCTCTTTACAACCCAACAGAATTTATTGCTCTGATCTGGCTAGCATCTATCCACAAGTTGCCCCAAGTAGGACAATTAAAGCTATCAAAGTTAAATGCTAAGAAAGAGCAAGGATTGTTTTGCGTTCTTTTTCATTATTGCAAGGAGCTGAACAATGCAAGTCCTAATAAGTGAACAAGCATTTAATGTCATGCTTGAGCTCTTGGCTTTATTATGAGTTGCTGTTTCAGGCAAGAGAACATGCAGGTTCCCCAGGAAAAAAAAACACTGGCTTTTTCACATGTACCATATGCCTAATTAGGTTGTTCATAACCAATGATCAATTAGCTGTGTATCTACTGTCACCTATATTAGTTTAATGTATTAATGCATTAAAGAATTTTTCTCTTATTTATTACTGTTTATTGTTGTACATATTGTTGCATTTTAAATATCTGTAAATTGCCTAGAGTACCTCTGGATTGAGGCAGGGATAAATTGCATAAATAAATAAATAAATAAAATTGTATTTCCAATGGCTCTAGCTTCAAGATCTGTTCTATGCAATAGTCTAATAGGGCTTAACGTTAACAGCAAAACTGAAAGAGTGCTATCTGACACTGAAAGGTTCCCTAGGGAGAGCAGATCTGTCACTTTATCTGTCTCTTGGTCTACCTAATATTTCTGGAAGGTCTACTGAGGACAAACGAAAGCACTTGGTATCCATAAGTCACGGTGAGCCTTATGAAAATGCTCTCCCGCTCCCTGTAAATGCAAGCATTGCATTGGAGGACCTCAGCTGTTTCTGTTCCCATGGAAACATATCCATCCAGGCAGAAAGCTGCTGTCAGCCAGCTGTTCATTCCTAACTTGCAGCCATTCTACTTCATGGTAACTCCAGGAGAAATGCCGTTAGTAGACTGCACACAGAACACTTGATATTCATGATCAAATTGATTATCTACTGGTGATAAATTTCCTCTAACAGTCACATGTGTAAAAGTCCCTTCTAAAAGCCACTGTCATGACTTTGAAACCACCACGAATCTGAAACATTGTACCATGTGAAATGTGCAATCCCTTCATCCAGATGTTGTCATCTTATCTTCTATTTCTCTGTCTTTAAGAATCCCACAGATCCAGCTTAAATTTCTGCTGTTACAAGATGATCTGCAAAGAAAGGCAGCTGCAAGTAAATCTTTAAAATTGTAAAAGTTAAGCTGAAAGGGGCAATTTCCACCTCTGTTCATGGAGTTCGGATATTGGTCTGATCCTTGTTGCTCTTCTCCACCAAACTCGTTCTGATTTGCCCGTTTTTCTTAAATGCCTTGCCCATGAACTAGACTATAAATACTTGAGGTGGGATCTGACCTATGCAAAATGAAGTGGAGTTTTTATTTTCTGTGATTTGAAAGTTACATTTCTGCTTATACAGTCTAAAATTGCCCTTGCCTTTTTTTACAGCCACATTACACTGCTGATTCCTATTCAGAAATTACTATACAATGCAGTGCAATGCTTCTGTTGGGCTACCAGTTCCCAGCTGACCACTGGGGATAAGTACACAGATTCACAACAAGAGCCATCTGTCAGGCACAAGCTTGGTACTACAGAAGTGGGAGTCAAGCAAAAAATGTTTCTACTGCTCCCCTCTCCATACATTTGTCTAAATTAAATTAATTTAATTTAAATCAATGGATGGGGGGGGAGATCCACAGTTTATATAAGGCTACCTTTGATGAGTGCTTGAAATTGAGGGTGATGACAATGTAGCTGCTTGCTTAACAGGTGCTAACTGCAAAAAGCATATTGCATCACTTTTGGATAAGTTCCACTGGTTTCCAGCTTATTCTAGTGCTCAGTGCAAAATGCTAGTTTTAACTGGAGTTCTCTAATCAGGTTCTAAGCCCACCTTTCTCCTGTATGTGTGCACACACACACATGCACACACCTAAAACACCCTTGGATCATTGGGGGAAGCCCAGCTGTAGGAACCCTGACTTTGAGAGGTGAGGCTGCAACTGCCAGAAGCAAGAGGGCCTTTTCAATGGTAAAGAACACTTCACAGACCTTTTTCTCCAATCAGTTTTCTCAGACAGTTATAATTAATAATATTTTGCTGGAAAATATTAGTGTCTTTTAATGTCAGAGAGCTGGGTGGATGATTGTACATGTTGCTTGATCTTGTCAATTCTACTTTTAGTTAGGGTTAGACAAGGCCATTCTCCCTTCTTAACTGCTGTCCAAGGACAGTCTCAAGGTGATTACAGTAGTATCGAATAGGCCTTTGCCACCCATCACCTTGGAAGGAAATCAGATGATTGGCAGTGAATAGAAACAAGATTCCTCTCTAGCAATTTAAGTACAGTGTGGCATCCCCTAACTATCCCTATGGTGGTTATTTATTCATCTGGATTATTGTTAGATTAGCGCATTGGTGATTGGATAACACTTATAAATCTAGTGATGAAAGGAAACAGAGGCGAGGCGAGGCAAGGCAGGCATTGGCAAATGCCAAGATGTCACGCCAAGATAGTTTCCTGCTCCCTGAAGGATGCGAGCAGAGCACTATACTATTGTTGCCACGGCATCTCCAAGACGGGAAACGGCTGCAGAGAAGTTGCCGCACTGCTCCCGAAATGACTCTGCGTCTGAAGCAAGGCTCGGGCCGCCTTATTTATTTCCATAATTATGTGTGCCGCCCCACTCAGTGACTGGGCGGCTGACCTATTTTCGGATTTAAGGAAAGG